AAAGAGCTACATGGATAAGTGGAATGAAATACTTAAAATGTCCTTTTTTAAACTTGTGGTTCTACATGAAGAGCTACATATATATATAATGTCTGCATATATATATATATATATATATATATACATACATATATATATATATATATATATATATATTAAGAGCAAATTTTATTGAAAAAAACGAGTACAATAGGGGGGGACTAGGCCAAAACCCCTAGGGAAAGAAAATAACTGGAAGAAAAGCAACTACGCGAAAAGAAAAGTGCATGAAACTGATCATTCCCAGATTATGAAGCCCGGGTGTTCATCGAATGTCTTGTTTTTAGGCATGACTTTTTTTGGCCTTTTCCCGTCTTTTCCAATTGGACCGACAGGGCCTACATACCAAAATTGGCCTGTGTAGCTCTCTGTTGTGATGATGCGTTCCATGGTTGTGGTTTTCCTGCTTGGCCAGTACTTTGGAACAAGGCTAACTATTCTAACTTCGAGAGTGGGATCGTAGTTCCTTGTTGTTACTGTTCGTGGGTTAGAAGGTCTCTTGCTTGTGTTCTTTGTGCGTTTGTGGTGGACTTCCTGGAAGTCATCAATGTTAAGGTTGGAGGTCCCTTCAGAGTTAAATTGATGAGGAGAAGATCTTTTTTCAATAAAGTCATCAATTTGGTTAAGAGACATGTTCCCATATCTTCCGGGGTTATTCCTTCGCATATTCTCTAGGACCTCTTTGTATTGTGGATCATTTTCGATTTCTGGATAAAGGAGCTCATCTTGTGGGAATTCTTCTATTGGTGGATCGAGATCTGTTGGTGGCTTCGGCTTCATTTGGAATTTCAATAGCAACTTGGGCTTCATTTGTTGCTTCAGTAGTATCCTCATCAGGGACAACTGCAGGTTCAATATCAGTGCCTACACCCAACTGAGCATTATTTTCAGCTTTTTCTGATTCTAAGATCAATTGGGCAGTAACCAAAAGGGGCTGAATTTCAGTACCCTTCACATCTACAGTTTCTTTTCATGAGGCCTTAGTGTCTGTCTTGACCTCCCTTTGGATCCATCTTGAGGAGGAGTGTGATTTTTTGCAGTTTTTGTGATCATATTTCCTACATGATGTGCAAAAGGCAGGAAGGTCTTCATAATGGATGGGTTGTAGAAAAGAAAGCTTCCCTAGGTGAATCCACACAGAGGTTGGCAGTTCCTTGGATAAGTCCAGTTCCACACAAACACGAGCTACTGATGGTCTAGTTAATTGGATTGTAGCATTGTCTGCCTTTAATGGTTTCCCAATCAAATTGGCAATGGAGTAAAGAGCAGAAGAATCAAATATGTGAATTGGTAGACCTTCCATTCCTATCCAGACGGGTAGCAATGGGGATTCAACAGTGGGATCAAATTCAGGAGTCCATCTGAATACATTTAAGGAATAACCATTGATCTTCCAATTCTTACGTAGAAGACACCGCAGAAAATCATTGTATGAAACGAAGGTAATCAAAATGTGTTGTTCATCTAGCAAGGAGACAGTAAACGAAGCTTCATATCCAATTTTTTCAAATACCTGACGAATTGTAGCTAGATTTGGTCTACCACTGCGGAAACGTCCAACCAATGCTAGTTTAAATCGCGCAGCCAACATTTTAATCTCTTCATCAGTAAAAGAAACTGATGGTGACCCTTTAAATCGAGATGCTGGTTTGAAGTTCCCAGATGCTTCGATCTCTCTGAAAGAGAAATCCATAGCGAAATGCAGCTTGCAGAGGAGATTCGATCGGGAATCGCCATTATCGCCAGAGCAGATCTAGAGAGAAGGTCTCCATTTATATATATATATATATATATATATATATATATATATATATATATAGGGATTGACTCTAGTCAGATGACATGTTCCGGTGAGATGACACTTTCGGTCAGATGACAACGTATGGCTCATTCTGAATCAATGTAGTGCTCATTCTTAGACAATGTAGGATTCATTCTCACACAACTGTTCATCACAATGTAGTGTTCATTCCAAGCCAGCGAGACGACAACATAGAGTTCATTTTGAATCCACGTAGTGTTCATTCTCAGACATCGTAGGGTTGATTTTCACACATTTGTTCATCATAAACATAGTACTCATTCTGAAACAACCTAGTACTCATTCACAATCTGCTTAGTGTAGTGTTCATTCTGAAATAAGGTGGTGCTCATTCTCAAACAAGGTGGTGCTCATACATACATACAAACATACATACATACATACATACATACATACATACATACATGCATACATGCATACATACATACATACATACATACATACATACATACATCCATACATACATACATACATACATACATACATCCATACATACATACATACATACATACATACATACATACATACATACATACATACATACATACATACATACATACATACATACATACAAACATACATACATACATACATAATCTTTACCCTTTATCATTATAATATCTCTTAATTCCATATTACACATTTCAAAAAAAATTTACTACCTCTCTACCTCTCTCTATGCATGTATTCGATGTTCTAATTTGATTACTAACTTCATAATGTTAACACATACAAAAAACATCTAACAAAATATACCAAACTAAACGAACAATGCCAAAACGAACATCTTAGACAAGGACAAAAAAACTTCTTCAACAACCAACGTCAAATTCAAACCCCCTCAAAGTACAATAATATCACTCTTCACATTCCACAAAACAAAAGGCTACAATCTAGCATTTCAAAATCCAACAAAACCAAAACATACACAACCCTATAAGATAATGACACCGAGCCTTAATACCAAGCCCGTGCGTAGCACGGGGTAGAAAACTAGTATGATGTAAACCACAAAGATAATCCTATGACATTACTTAAATGCTTTTTTGAATATAATGTATGTTTCTAACCAATGGTTTGTTTTCAGGTGATTCCGACATTCTCAAGAG